GGCAGTTATTGCCTTTTAATTTGAGGACATTAAGTCAACGACCAGGCTCGTTTGTTTGCTAAATTCAGGATGATCGCAAAAATAATTGTGTACACTCAACAATGACAATGATAAAATTCGCATTGAGGTTTTTTAATTACAAATTTCGTTTTACAGCCACWATCTGRCACATATTGCAAGCGAGCATGAACGAATTATRCCATACTCATAAATCGCTTTTGTACAATATGATTAATAATTTACAAAGAAAAGCTGTTAGCAAAACAAAAAGGGGGCAGAATTTTAATGATATAACCTAAACCACGCTTTATTTTAATCTACAGCTTGAACGTTGAATAATATTTAATCGGATCTAAAAATTTTTGGTTGGGTCGTCCATCAGTGGTATTATATGATGGCACTCCAGGGATCGTGTAGAAAATATAGTAGTCTATAGGGTTTAAGATAACCCAACTTCTAATAAAATTGCTATGATGCAGATATGAACACTAATATTAAAAGTTTTTCTTTCTATAGAAAGACTAACCAAACTTTTTGTAATATTAATCAACCAATTCAAAAAACTCCATCTACACCTAGAAAAACTAACCTTATAGTATGTTAAGTTTAATTAAAAACAATTTGTTTCAATTATTTGGGTCAAATTAAAAAACTACATTTTGAGATAATATGTCTATTGWTTCTTCAATTTTTGTCTTTATATATCTATAGCACGCTATACTCTTACACAGTTCCTCTCAACAAAAGTGTCTATTTGATAAATAATCTTACCGTAATACTTGTGTTCCCTTATTTAACATTTCTGGYATTTAATGCATCTCTTCGTAATAATTTAAGCCTCTTTGGTTAATAAGTATGCTGGTATATTTAGAGCAAAATCCTTCTCTACTCTCCAATATTACTAAAGATAAAAAAATTTAATTAACTCCTGATTAAATATTTAAGATTTAATTGAGTTACCCGTAATTAACGAAAGTTTAAAATGTTTTTTTAAAGAGTCGCGGACATTTTGAAAGTGTTAAAAAGTTAACATCTCTGAACATCTTTAATTCCATCCATCAGTCGTTAAAAAAATGAGAGACTGATCCGCTGAAACGAACAGTCTATAAAAACATTCTAAAAAGTTCTTCCTTTTCTATCACTAATATTGATTGACTTCAATCTTGGGCTTACATTTGACTATCTGCTTGTACCTCCTAAGTGCTTAGTAAACAATAAAATCAACTTTGATTGTTCAATTTCGGAAAAAMATCCATTTGATATTCAGCGAKTCAAGCCTGYAAATTGAAAGAACCGTGGTAGTCGTCCTGTCCTTATTAAAATATCAAAGTGCTGAAACTAAATGTATAAAAGCGACTCCGCTKACTGGTGAAAAGACGCTTTGAGTTTCAATAGTAGCAATAGCCATGAACTATCCCAAAGTTAGCGTTTTCTAATCTATGACTTGATATTTTCGTCTAGTCCATACGAGTTGAAATCTCGAATTTGCATAAGTTTTGTCGATTAAATAATTAGCAAAGTAAATTTCAGTTTTGCGTTGAACGTAGCAGAAGGTTCCGGCCTTTTCGCCTCCAAAGGTCAAGAGCTTTTGCTTAAATTAATCATTACCTATCSACGGTTCTGTTAACTACCTTTCGCTTATAAAGCAGGAATAATCTGTAGGGATAAACTAAGACGTGAACGATGGCTTTTATAATTGGCCGTGAAAAYAAATGGGCACACTTGACCCCTGTCAAAGGTAAAAATCCGAAACAAACGTGGCGAAGTTGGAAGAAATCGAAAGTTTTTATTGCTTCCAAGCTCACGTACAATACAAATTACTCTAATGTATTGACAGGAAAAGCACCAGGAGAATATAAGTTTGCCAAGAAAATTAAGAGGAGGAATTAGTAAGCGAATAAAGTTTCCTGGACAAATATAAGAAGCTTAATCAGAATTTCGGCCRATAAATGAGGGCTAACGTGTTATTGGCAAGGAGACAACGCTGCATTTGAAATAGTATCATGAATTATCGCGTTGTTATCTCCTCCAAATCTATTTTCCGAGCAGACAATCAGAAAGACTGTTTCTTTATTTATTTCTTCGAAACGAAATAAAACAAAATTGCTTTTGTTGGAAAGCGTGCAAATTCTTTTTTTTAATGCAGACCTATTCGGACTAACACCCCTCAAAGGAGTCGTTCAATTCGGCTCGTAAGGACGATGATTTCGACAGTTTGAAAATTTGCGTCGAGTCAAGCATGTAGATAGCTCTTGATTACACTCTATACTCAACCAAATCTTAGATCTTAAACGCTGCCAATTTTTATTTAAATTTTTGTATTTGAAAAATGTGTCGCAGACTCRCTCCAACTTTCATCTGCATGTAGTAATATTGCAAATTTGTATCCAAAAAKTTGGCCAAAACTGAAATGTATTAAGCTGAAGCTGTGCAATTTCTTCSAGCTGGTAAAAATGTGACAGTGCGACAAACTTACAGGAAAYAAGATCTGTTAAAAGTCGTAGTCTTGAAAATYGATTTTATTACGCCGGYGTGTGCTTGAACGGGCCCAATTTATTCGAAAGTTTTTCTAGTTGTACGGRATGATTCAAAAACTATGTGGCCGGAAGTAAATATCAGTCAGTGTGAWTTTCTTTCGATTTCCAATATCAGTTCAGTTCCGAAACCTGACTCCATCAAATAAATTAAAACCTGATTGTGATAAAATTGTGCACCGTGATCTCCGAACGACTGCCAGAATACCTCTTTTCTCATCTCCTTCGCATAAAATAAACATGAAATTCCTGACCCAAATACTCAATATTTAACAGTTTGTAAGCGTATATTATTAAAACCGGAGACAATCTGACCAGATCCTGAAAATCTTGGCTCATCGTCAAACCATAAACAAAGCAAAAGGGGAAAGTCAGCCAATCGCTGTTCTGATTTTATGCCCTTACTTAATTCCAAGCTGAATTTATCAATTTTATTTAATAAGCTGGAACCCACTTATCAAATACATTCTGCTGTATCAGAAATTTTAAGCAGAAAGGTGAAAAAATTTGCTTTTTGTCGGTTTTGCCTGACGGTCCCCATCAGAATGATTAAATGTAGTTTTTACTCCCTGAGAAAATCTATAATAAACTTCACATGATGCAGAAACTCAAAGCGACATATTTCCCTAYTTTATCTAAAGAAGTCATGTATAAAAAGACGTAAAATGTTTCCTACTGCAATTTATTTGGAACGATGTTTAAGTGAGAAAAAAAACTGCAAAGTTTCAGGCTTGTTAAAACATGTCTTCGATATTCTCACTCATCAATTTTACACCGATATGTTTTATTATATTTACTTATYCGTTTTATAGACAAAGTTTTAATCTTACATCCCCTGTGGTTTTCTAAATTAAGAATTTTGCTTATTTATTTTTAACGATTTAAGAAGCTTTTTTATTTATACTTAAAAGCTTACAGTAAATAAAATCTCGTGAGGTTTACTCATCATTCTCTAAGGGATAAGGACTTTACAAGTTTTTATTGCTCCAAGGCATAAATATCTAATTTTAATTGGCTTTAAATTTTTTCCACTGAAACTAATTTTTTAAGAGATTTTTTTTAGAAAGTAGGAAACACGACTTAATAATAAATAAAAATTTAAATAATATAACTTATTCATACTTTCATACAGACTCTTGCTTTTAAATTTTAATTCGTTATAAATTTATGGTGTCATAAATGAGTAAAGACTAATGTCTAGCTCTAACCCTTAATAATGAGAATTTACGACCAGTAAWWTTTTTAAATACTAAMGTAAAATCTTAGCATGATACAAAATGCACTAATTTCTTTATTTAAAACAYATTAATTTGTCTAAAAATTGCTTAAAATTTAAAAAAGTATTATATTGACTTTAATTTGTTTTATTTCCAACAAAAACAATAAAAAACTTTACTTTAATAAAAATGCTTTCAGGCCTTCTGTATGCCTGCAGATAAGCTAAATAAAAACATTGCCAACAACACACTTGCCAATAAAAATGTACCTATAATACGTGAGCGTGCTTTGATGGAAACCGTTTTATCAGGAGTAAAATCTAATAAAACAACTGCCAATCTCTTTGCTAATAAATTACTAGCAAACAGTTTAATTCGATGGAAAAAAACGCAATTTGGTCTTCAAAGAATATAATTTCATATTTTAGTATACGTTGAGGGCAATCCGAAGTAATCCAAGTGCATTTTTTATGCAAATTTATTTGCCTTTGCAAGGCGTACACCGCGTCTTTTTTGAATATTTGAGTTCTAATAAATTTTCAATATGTAGATTATGACGTGTCAGAAGGATTTGATTAAAATTTTGTCGGCAATTTACGTTTATAGTGGTTCTTGTTGAGCAATTGATAGAATTGCAAATAGGGCCGTTTCCAATTCWAAATGCAATGTTTTTGTAATTCTTCTTATGCGATGGRATGAAATTACTAGTCGCGGGACATGGATTGCAATGATTGCAACAGGAGCTCGCCCTGTTAAATTACAAACGGAGTTGATATTGGGCTCTCCAGTGGAAACATTGACTCGAAATTGAATCTGACTGAACTCAAATGAGCAACCATTTCCCAAATAATGAACGGGTACTTTTTTAAACAACGTTTTTATTAAAGACGAGTTTCTTTAGAGACAGTAGCGATATCGAGAGTTTTTCAATCTGCTGTTGACGCCGACAAATTGTGTACACAGCACAACAGTTCGTATCGAAAATTGGAGATCGTCCATGTGATGCAGACGTTATTACAAAAGTAATTTTTTTTGTGAACTCAAAATTTGTTAAAGTGCAAACAAATGCTTTGCCTGGCTCTCAACATTTAGTCAAAGATTGTTTATTCGTAAAGGCGGTTAAATGCACCCTTTAGCAAAATGACGATAAATCTCTCGTCCCGGAAGAGCGTTAAAAGTCGTTACTGATTTGTAACACGGAAGAGGAAGGCTGGGGCAACTTAGGTCGTTGATAATATTTGCTTGTTACCTTTTGCTACAGGAGACACAGCTATAAAGTTGACGAGGGCGGCACCGGTGCCGTGACCCATCAGAGTCACCCTCTCGGGATCACCTCCGAAGGTTGGTAGATTTTCCCTAAGCCAGTGCAACCCTGCTACAAGATCCATTAGACCGAAATTCCCTTGGGCACTACCTTTAGTACCCGTCTTAAGAAAACCTAAAACAAATAAAGACATAATTACTTCTAACAGAAAAAATAGTAGTTGACATTGTATGAAAACTTTGCAAACATGACTAGAAGTTTTTAAAATTGTAATTATTTCGGCCATTGAAATAAATATGTGCTTTAGGTGGTTTCAAAGTGTTTCAAGAAAATAGAAAATCCTGAAAGAACTACTTTGCCAAAATGAAACGGCTATAGGTAGTTACTCGAATATTATTATTCATGTTGAAGAAAAGCAACATAAGATGAAATAAATTGCCTCTTTTATTCCTGTAATGACTCTTTAAAATTTCAGCATTCATTCAGCAGCCGTTTCGAGTGGAAACTTAAACAATTTTTTAGAAAGCAAAATTATTTACAATTTATTTCCATCAGCATGTCTTTAGATATTCTATTAAAAGCGGGCTCAAATTTTTTCATCCGAGTTTCCCATACAAACTTTTCCGTTTTTGTTCTGAAGTAAGTGTAACCTTTTAAATCTTAACGTCGCCTTATACGTCACATACAGTCAAGAAAGACGGCGTTTTGTTGCATTAATAAATAGAAATTTTAATGAGGGATGGAAACTAATTTGAACCTCAGTTCTATAATTTTAAAACGAGATAAAAATCTTGAGCGGGTAAAAGCGTCGCTTCCACCCTTTCGTTTGGAAAAATTTATTATTTTACTGCGCACACGAGCAACGGTGGGCAGGAGGTGTAAATGAAATTAAAAATCGTTTCGAAGTCAGTGTGAGAGGTTGGGGTGGCACAGGGGTGATTAACGAGCCAGTTACAATGGGCCAAGAGGTTATTTTGTTCCGCCCGCCCCACACTGTCAACGTAAATTTTGCACTTTTTCTACAACAATTTTTTAAATTAGGTTAAAAAATCATTTTGGCTGAAATAAGTTTAAGGTCACAAGTTGAGAGGCGTTAGTTTCCTTTTGGGATGCAATGATCGGAATGTGTGTGAAAAAGGAGTGATTAACGAGGCCGTTTTGGCACAATGGGCCAAGTGGTTATTTTGTTCCGTGTCCCACATTGTAAACGTAAATTTCGTAACCTTCCTACAAAAGCTTTTATAAATTAAGTCAAGCAGTTTCGGTGTCAACATTGTAATTAAATTAATAAGATGCATATAGTTTGTTGTAAACCCATTGTTTTTAGTCCATTTGTTTCCAGCACTCGCGCGAGTTTATTTTGCTAATTTGTCAGCAAAACTAAGTTTGTTTGATGGCTATATTGTGCAAACTCAGCCACTTAAATTGGAGCTGTTGTATGATAAAGCAAATTATCACCCAAACCTAAGGCACATCATCCCTTARAACAAGCTATGTTCCCAATGGAACAATGCTAAGCTTCATGGACATATCGCAATCAATCAACTCAACTCCGGCATTACACCATTAACCCACATAGGCTTGAGAAGTTTTTAGGGAGATTGTTGACACAACTTGCTTCGATTTTTCTTGAGAGGTTTTTAACATTGATACGTCTAAAAATCTTGCAAACGTTTTTATACCCATCAAAACATCAAACGAAATTCTCAAAGCTACCCTAATGTATCAACTGGCAGTAAATAACATTTTGGTAAAGATGCCCAGCTAGTTTATTACAATCTAATAAATAAATCAATTTTGACCASAAACCATGTTTCGGATTGCTGAAGACAAGAGCTTTTATTTTATCTTGAATATCGATTTCGGCTCGTGTACAACACTGGAAAGTTAACAGAACTTTGTAATTAAATTTGCAACATCTATTTAATTTAAAAATACAGAAAAACTTTACTGAAATGTTATCCTTAAAGAATCACAAGAAAAATTGGACTTTCATGAAACTCATATTTACTACATTTTAACTTCACCTAAAATGACATCAACACGTTTTGCATTTGAAAGTTTCCTCTTCAAATTTGATTTAACATTTTTATTCCCTTCCATAAAGTCTGTTAAAAATGAACAAACACAACCAACATCTGCGTCTGTGACGCCCGTTTGTTATTGAATGAAATATTTTAGAAAAAATGAGGAACTGAACCGAATACAACCAATAGACTTCAGACGTGAGAACAGTATCAATGTTGCCTTTTCAATATTATCGTAACGTAAAATCAAAGCAGCTACAAGGAATTTAAACAAACCACATCCTCAATTCGGACATCTTTTCTCATTTTGCTCCAAAAATACTTTAATCCAAGCAAAGCACAAAGAGTGCTTTAATAATACACCTAAAGCTTTGCCAAGAAACTTTGAGGACAATGCTTTAGCAAATCGATAATAGAAGCGTTTTCAAACAATAAAGTCATAATTTTTTTCCGACATCAATCAACTTGCTCGCTCCTTATTTACCCCTCAGTGTCTCGCCAGATTCGATTGTGATGGAACTGTTCGTGACATTTCTGTCAATACGTGCATTGTAAGTTGTTTTTAAGAAAATGCGTTATACTAACAACAAATTAATGTTTGATTAAATTTGAGATTCTTTAAGATACAGATACGAAATTTAAATATTTAATCTAGGTTAAATTTTTTCAGGAAAAAAAATTTTCTAACTCTGTAAAAGTTACACGGTTGTTTTCGCAACTAACTGCATATTCATGTAAAAATTTAAAAAATATTTACTATTTTTATATATACTATTTTTTTTTTAATTGTACACATCTACGCGACAAATTTATCATCGATTATTTTTTAATAAGCAAATAGTTATAACAGTGGTGGAGTGTAGGTTATTGATTTATGTGTTACTTTTATAAATAGATTATTTAAAATAAATATAATTACCTTAAAAGATTTATGTCCTACAGTTACTTTATCTTACATTTATTTGTTCGACAAAAACTGTATTTAATCCTTTTTTAAAAATAGATGATAAAATAATGTAATGCTTGCTGCAACAATTATTACATTTTTTTTTGATCGTGAAATTCGATTTGGGATACAAAAACTAAATACTTGTTTAATTCACTGTAGATGTGAAAATCAAATTTGGAATCTCTAGACGTCTCATTATACAATCCAAACATCCCCGATTTCAATCTCAAGAAACCTACTCATGACTAAAATTCCATTATGTGCTCTTTACACATTTTAATTAATAGAAAATGTATGAGTTCTGGCGTCACCTAGACACTCCCTCTTGCTATTAATTCGAATTAAGTTACGCTGTCTGTGGCGACAGCTCAGTGGTTGTGATATTTATGGGTGCGGTGACATTGCCTAAAACTGAAACTATTTAATTGCATGCGTTCGAATCTCACATCTTGACGTGGTCTTCCAGTTAAATTAAGTCTCGGAGTCCCTCAGGAGACCACTTTCTGCTATCTACGTGGTCCACACGGTTCCTCAGAGACGTTACTGTCTTTATAACCACAAATGAAACAACCAAGATTGTTGTACATGTTCAAGTAAAAATTTTACTGTTGCTCGCAAATTTGTTTAGGATCAAAAGAAGGTTATCTTCAAATCTGAAGATTCAAATGAGAATAAATTCCGTTGTGTCTAGGGCAATATTCATGGTTCCGTGCTAGAGTTTTCTAAGCTTTTAACATATCAGTTGTCTCTTTGCGTAATGTAGATTTATACGTAAACGGTGTATAGAAGCCTGATGTATCATCATACCAAATGCTTTCATTGCACACCGTAACCAACGTGGAATGAATACTGACTTTCTTATACCTACTTTCAAACTGTCATAAATACTTCTCGTTTTATTCGGTTTGTTGACAGGTGAGATAATGGAATAATGGAATATGTTTGTAAGGAAATGTGAATGTTTCACAAACCCTCCTTTTGTATTCATTTCAAGCAACAAAATTAAAAAAACCATACAGTATGCGCCTCTGCTTTCAAATCAAATATTCAACATAATTAAAAGCCACAATTTAATCTCGTAACAACTCCAGATTTATTACTTAAAACGTCGCTCCAAAACAGATATTTTATTCAGCTGATGTTCACATAAAGCTCAGAGAGCACCTCGACTTCGGAAAGCCGCTTTATTTCATTTGGGTATTTTAAAATCACAAAGACCGCTATCTAGCATGTAGAGAGCAAGCTAAAACTTGTTTATTTACAAGAAGCGCCAAAGTGACTGAAAGCATGGCAAAAAGTGCTTTACATGTACACGAGCCCTCGTACGAAATTTTGCACGAGGTGTCGATAACAAATTTTTGGCTTTCAAACATCGTTTTTTCAATGAATTTAATAAAAAAAAGTTCCTGGTAAGCGAAGCAAAACCTTTATGTTGCAATCAGTTGTTACAAATAGTAAAAACCTCGCCACAAATTTATTGTCCTATTTTTGTTATAAGAAACGAGCTGAGAAAAATATTATTTTAATGTGTCATTTCATTTCAAGTCTTCATTTAAAACGTTTAATACTAAAGTTTAAAAAAAGTACAAAGTCTGGATTTATTTGCTAAAGCGGTTAAAGCAAAAAAATATGAAAAGAATTTTTTGTTATTCCATGTCGTCATATAAGTAATAAGTTAAAAAAAATAAATTAAATTTATCATCATTTATCAATTATTTTATAGAAAAAGCAAATTTGAGATAAATTCCGCAACATCTGGGAAACAAAATTGCGATTTAAATAAAAATGTAAAATTTTGTACTCTGTCGGTAACAGATGATTTAATAGCCGCCAATGTTCATGCCAAAATCACGAATTTGAGCAACAGATAAATCTAAAAATCACGCGTCATGTGATACTTACAGATGGCCATTAAAAGTTTTTTGATACGTTGCTATTTTTCACAATTTAAACAAAGCTTCCCAACCAGAAAAAGCGATTTCAACAAAATAGGTTTGTGTTTTGTTTTAATGATTTTGAAGTTACACATGCAAAATTAATACATACATTTTATTGTGATTTAAAAAGGTATTTTCAGGCAAAATTGTGGACTAAACACTTGCTTTAATTTTGTTAACAACTGCATAAATTCGCCTAGTAGCACGAATTCTTTGATTAAACTTTTTGCACAATTAAATTTTTTTTCGTTTCTAAAGCAGTGCATGAACATCTCAATATACAACCTAGCAATCTGTAACAACACAGTTAGGGACCTTGTTTACTCCGTATTGGTAACATGTGGTGCGGAAGACCGATAACTTGAAGGTATGCTTTGTCGACCCTAATAAAGGCGATACAATCTTCAACAGTTGAGAATATTATGGCGTCTGCAAATACTTAAAAGTTTTCTCCTTGTTTGCATTTGATACATTTTGCACCCCCGGCACGTACCAGAAAAAAATCATCGCAAGTGAATAATTACAACGGAAATTTTTGACAATTCAGCAAACACAACCCCTTTCAATGCAATTTAGAAAATTTATTTTTTAATTTATGGTTGCTGTGAAGTTGACACTAAGTTGGTTAGAACAACAAGAAAAAAATAAATTATGCTGAGAGAGGGTTAAAGGCGGCTCAAATAATTTTATGCCAATGATAAATCTCTCGAAAGTTTCTGCTTACGGAAAAAGATGATTTAAATTTTTTCTGAGATCGAGTCAAAAGATTGTGTCTGTATCTTTATACGGTTGGGGAGGTCGTTGAACGTGTGAATTGGTTCGAGCTTTGTTGATACAATCAGGAAGTGAAATCTTCCCCAATTTCTGTGTTCACCGGCGACCATAAATTCCAAAAATCAACTTTGGAATGATAACGCTCAGATGGAAAATTATTTCCGTGACCCAAATGTAATTTTATGTATTGCTAAACAATGCTGACCAAGATTGTTTAAAAAGCTGTATTAAATTTAGTTTAATCGAGATAACAGCAACACTATACATGAAGCAAATTAGCAGTTTTGCAGTATTCTGGATAACCTTTAATTAAGATGGTATCAGTTTCTTGTAACAGTGTTGCAACAAACCATGGGTCGTTTGAAGCAGTTGGAATAAAAAGCTAGTTAAAAATCGTTACCTAAGCTTGATGAAACATCCTCGTTCGTGAAATTACTATCGTAAAACAGCAGGTGGGTAGGTGACATCATTCTCGTCACCGACATAACGGAGTAATTAAAGCCCGAATCAAAAGTTCGCTTAAGTTTGCCTTATAATGTATTAAATATAGTTCCAAGTTCTAGTTAAAAGACTGTCTATGGGTTACGTGTCTCATAAAGATAAGGTAATGTTAATTTCATCTAAAGAAGCTCTTCCAACAAGTCTAACAAAACGGTTTCGTGTTGCACCGTCATTAAAACATGCGCAATTTCTATATGACTTTAATTTTCGCAAAACCTTAATATAATTTACGTCAGCGGCTGTGTAGAAATTAATTTCATACGTGTCGTCTATTAGAAACAGAGCTATCTGGCTACGACTTGACAATTATCTCCCGAATGGCGGCAAGGTCTGATTAAGTCCTTTGGAACAATTCCCACCTGCTGCAATAATCTTGTTACTGTCATACACCTACAGCTATAGCTACAGCGTATTCCTCCTTGATAACACCAATGTAATTTATAACCGTCATCCAAAACCATCTTTCCGAAACTTAAACCAGGATTTAGACGATAATCGTTACTGGTTAACGAGTTCAGCTAAATGAAAACTGCAAAGCCCCAGAGACAAACGCCTCGATAGATAATTATAACGTCGAAAAACAAGACATAATGWAGATAACACCGAGCACACAGTAAGTTGCAGATGACGGCAAAATCAAGTCAACCTAAAAAGCTTGCTATACTTGTATTATAAGTATTTCATATACATATTTTTAAGATAATCTAGAAAAAACTGTTCATCAGAATTAAATAAAAAATCTGAATAGAAAAAAATTAAAGAAAGCAATAAAAGATTATTTATTTAGCCTTGCATTATTGGTTGTTCAGAACACTGTATGAAATAATATTTCATAGAATTTACCTATAAACATGAAGGACTTCAGTTTGTTGCCCCAGCAGGAAACGCTTTAGCCAATAAAGTCTCTAATGTTTAATATTGAGTTTAACAAGTTGTGTTACGTTTTAAAGCGTTTTCTTGCAGCGTTATCTCTATATTCTCTTTACGAGTAGTAAGCGAATTTATTTTTGAAAGTTGCAGCAGTTGTGCAAACTTTCCCCAACTTGCGTTCTGCAGCTAGTGAAATGTGGAAATCTCGTGTTATTTTTTCTCACCTAGCACTCCTAATCTGAAGTTGATGGTGACGACGATGACCCTCCCCGTGGAGGCGAGTACAGTTCCGTCGTAAGGATTGCCCGAGTTCCACTCGTAGCTTTCACCATGTACGTAAACTACACAAGGCAACGGATTGGTTTCCTCTTCGCCAGTGGCTGGAACAAAAAGCAAAGAATGAGTCTGACAAGAAAATGTCGAAAAACGTCTTAACAAGACCAAAGTGGTTACATAGGGCGGACAATTTGCTGTGTCGTTAAATTTAAGCTTCTCTCATAAGCTTTTGACGTTTCTTGGTTGTTCTCTGATAAAAAATCTAAGCGCTAAACGGCCACTGGAAGTGACGCGACAACAAAAATAATCACTTAGCAGACCGAAAAATCTTGTTCGAAGAGAAAAAATAATTGTGGTGAAATTTTTTGATGCACTGCTACACCAATGCGAGATTAGAGTCATTAATCTTTTGTCTATTTATAGGAAATCTATCCGGTTTTAAATGAAAATGTTCAGCTTGCTTTTTTTTTGGAATGAAAAATATCACGAATGAAGTATAAAAAGGCACGTCCCTATTTCGACTGATACTTCAAAAATTACCCAATTTAGTATTGTTCAAACGTTGCTTCGATTTAAATGATTCTACCATAAATGCCCTCCGCTGCACTACTTCGGTTGTAATTTACCGATACTATTTGTATGCTAATTTAGGAAACACATGTTCACTATAATATATTATCGAGCATCTAAGTATAATAGGAAATACCAAATCAACTCCAGTGGTTTGATAATGTAATTCTGGAACTCGGCAAATGAATTATGCATGAGTTTAACAAACATAAACAACAAAATTTAATTTTGTAAAAAAGTGCTCTAATTTTTCAGCAAACAAACTAATTGAGTCTCTGTTTTGATAAACTATAAATTTTCCAGAATAATTTTTTAGAATTCCAAGTGCCAACAAGATCTTTTTAGTTTATTAAAGGAGAATTTATTTGAAATTTAATTCAGTTGTTGAGAGCATAATGATCCTCTAAGTCAATTTTCTTTACAAAATTATTTTGGATAGACTTCTGAGTTGAACATAAATCGTTTTAATTAAAAATAATGAAATCTTCAAACGCTCAAATGCGATATCATTGTTTGAATAAAACTTTTAAAACAATTAGAATCATTAATATTTTCCTGAGTTTCGGCTTCTTGTCAACACAAATTTTCTACGAGAGCGCACAGATGCGGTTTGAACACGTATTTACATTTTTCAGCCGTTTTCAGAATAAAATATTTCTCCATTACTAAATTATCATTGTCGTGTAGCTTCTTTGTACGTGCTAATAATTTATTTTAAGACAATCATTTGTTTGTGCAAATTTTATTGGATCACATAAAAGTAAAATACGATCAGTGTTGGCAACGCACGATTAAATTCTCTTTGAGAAAATTACGTTATTTACGTTCCAATATATCGTGCTTTTCGTCTACAAAGTCCTCCAATTAATCACTAGAGACAATTAAAATGATTTTAATCAAAGATTTTAGTTAATGCGAGTCAAAAGAACCACAAGCAAGCTCTGTAATCTGCTTGTGTTATATAAATACGAGGACTTCCTTTAAGTAAACATCTTGAGGCAACGGCATGTGTATCCTTTGACCTGAACCTCACCTGAATACATAATTATCATGTAGGTTTTACGACAAACACGACAAATTTCCTTTGTATTTACCCCAAAGAGTCGATTTAATTAAAGCATGAGTGCGAGTTTTCTGTGGCCAATATTGAGGCTTTATTTGATAAATTCGTCCAATTTTACCTTGCTACATTCTTCTGATAAGCGATATTAAAGCAGATTATATCTTGGGTCGTCGATATTTCGGACAGAAGCCGTTTTCTTGATCTGCCCGACTTGATACGCTCGCAAGGATTTTAGAAAAAATATATTTTTTACGGACAGACGGTCAATATTGTCCACTCTCAATTCAACAAGTTGATGCCGTATTTTCGGTCAGTAGTTGCTAAGGACTATTTACATTCAGGCGACTATTTTTCAGATTTCAGTCCCTGGGTTATGGAATGGAAGAGCTGAAGCGACGCCGGGTATTAGACCTTCCATTTATTCGAGATTTCTGAAATTGACGAAACGATGAGAAGCTCGTTTTATCGGAATTATATCCCCATGTTTTCTTTATGTCACACAAAAATATAGCTTAATCTCAGTCAACAACAACGAACCGAATCAATAATTAAACCAAAACAAAATTCCAAAAATGTCACTCCATTAAGAATTATGTCTTGTTGCTAATATGTTTCAATTATTTCATTTATCAATAAAAAAGCAATTATTTTATATAATTACCAACTCTTACAAAGCCGGAACAATTAATCTTTAGTTAGCTAAAGTACGTCCCTCTAATTTTATTTAACAAGGGTTAGTTTTGAAATTTAATCGGCTTATCTTCGACCGTCTTAACCGTAACATGACCCTAATTAGAGCGTGGAACAGATTTTAACCAATTGAAAATTATTTAGTACTCATTCTCTGAATTAAAACCATTAAATTTTAAAGTTATAGGATTTCTTCGTGTGCTTCTAGTTCACAAAGGATTTCAAAGAAAGAAAATACCGAATACCGGAAACTGATTGCAAACAAGCACAAATTACAAAGTTTCACAAAGTTTGTGGTCAACAGAATTAAATTAATTGAGTGGAAGACAACAATTTAACAAATCTCTTGCCACATTGTTAAAAACAAAAATMTTTAAGTTACTAGGTAATCTACTGCAAAAATATAAATGAAATTATTTTTTAATACGGAATATTTTTAGCACAATAGCAATAATAAACATAGAATTAAAATGAACTATTCTGGTAATAAAAATAAATGTTTCGGTACGAAATGCTAAATACATACATGGCTGTTTACTCGTCGACTTCCTCATTCAGTTATTCACGGTTTGTTGTTTCTATAATTTGATTTCACTTTATTTTAAGATATTATAGAGCAAACAAACAGCCCGATTAGCGCTCAAAAAACAATAAAAATTAAAAGAGAATCATAAATAAGTATGTACGTATTTCAAATCAGAAACCAAGTGTCTGTTTAATAAAAAGGATCTACATTATACATATTTCTTAATTTCTTGAGAATACAACGTCTAAAAATATAAAAATTTCTTTGTGTTGTCATCTGCCAACAATCCAAATGCAATAGCCACAAATAATTTGAAATGTTAGCAATCAAATTAATTGTGTTTTAGGGCCATAATATTGTCACCTGTGGAGAATTGCAAGCCGAAGCCGTCAATGTGAGCGACCTTAATTTTGATAATGGCATCACAACTGTAATGTRGTTGCAAGCTAGTTGACATGCAATAGACCAAGCTTTATTGATTGTAACAGAACGCCATTCGGAGGAAAAATTCACTGATGGTGCAGTACCTTTTAGTAATTTGTTACTGCAACGTCATTAATTAATATCATTTTATATCCACGTTGGTTAAAAATTAAAATTCAAAAAAATTTCTCCACTTCATACCTTATTTGAATATTATTCGAATTTGTTCATCTAACTTTATAATAAGGGAAGTATCTCGTGCATAAGCCATGATATTCAGCAGTGAAATATTTAAGTAGTGTCGTTCAATGTGTTTTGCGTACTGTTGTTATATTACTTCACTTAATATTTCTACATAGGTTTGTAAAGCCATTTTACATTTTTTCTTAATTGAAAAAATGGAAATACTGCATCTACACTTGTTAATTACAACGTTATTAACCATTTTTGATAAATATCCGTCTTTGAAGTCAGTGTTTTTAAAAGTTCACACAATCTGGGCAATTGCGCTCAGCCTGAAATATGCCTTTTTTGCAAAGAATTTGGTAAAAACGCGCTATGGTATAGGTAGGTGTTCTTGTAGAAAGTGGATTCTTGCAAGCTGTTCAGGGGCTGATCGTCCACATGGATATATTTGTGAATATTGCAAATAAAATTTAAAATGTTAAATTGTTATCGGAAAGTAAAATTATTTTTTAAATGAAATATAATCTTCTCTTGAGTGTTTTTTTTTACTTTTTTGGTGTGCATTTTAGAGTAACTTGTTTCAATTTAATGCCATTGCACTTATTTGAGCGGCATTACCCTACTCAGTTGGGCAATGACGCTCTTTGCGCGTTATTGTAAAATCTTTTTTTTACATGTTTATTTTGAGGATTTTTTACATAGAGTTGGTTTCTTTACATTTCAGGCAACAGATTCGCAAAAACAAAACCATAGAATATTATTATTTCTCTCAAAATATCAATTTGAATTTAGGTGAGCGCCAATACCCATCGCTCCCCAACATTTCATACATAATAATAATAATCTTAAACGAAATATACAATTCAAGCGATAGTTTAAATTATTTACATTGAAACTTCCTGTGAAAGCTATTGAGTAATTCACAAAAAAGGAGGCTTTTTAAATTTTATTTTTCTCTTAATAGTGTCCCTTATAATTAATTTCTTTTTTGTACGGTTTTTGCGAGTGCTTTTCTAGTTTTTCTAATAATGTCGTGCTCTCAAAAAACCTTCCCTTGCATATAAAATTAATGTTAATAAAAAATTCTCCAAACAATTATTGTTAATCCAAACAGACAAAGAGCCCTCAATTAGGAGCTAACAAAATTTATGCTCGCATAGAGTCTTTGTTAAAAAATTCAAAAAGGGRTGAGGGCCACTTGCTGCGACCATTAGGCCAGCTTTAGGGTCCATCCGAACGTTATGATTATTATATAGAAAAATTATGATTATCACGCACCATTTGCGGCCTCTCAACACTGGATCTCTGCAACAGAGTCTGCTTGAAAATTGCAGACAAACGAATTTTGTGTGTAACTATTTTCAATGTGTAGTTAAAACTTTGTAAATGGCGGCGGTTTTAGGTCAAAGCTCTCACGGAGACAAAAGCTCGACCAGGACTCTAAAAGTTACTAGATAAATAGTCCATCTACTAAAAAGAACAAACGGAAAAAACACTGGCGACTTCATATTTTTTGTAATATGGCCACACTAGCGGCTCTCGGTTTATTTCAAAGCACTTTTATTGTAACCTTGTGAGAAATTATGGTCCTTGAACAGATATTAGTGCCTCCAAGTGACCTTTATTTTATCAACAATACGACATGT